GACGGGGTTTCACCATGTTGACCAGGATGGTCTCGATCTCTTGACCTCGTGATCCACCCGCCTCGGCCTCCCAAAGTGCTGGGATTACAGGCTTGAGCCACCGCGCCCGGCCCTCATTTACGTTTTTTGTAGAGACATGATTTCACTTTGTTGCCCTGGCTGGTCTTAAGTTTCTAGCCTCAAGCAATTCTCCCAACTCGACCTCCCAAAATGCTGCGATTACAGGTGTGAGCCACCATGTTTGGCCCCCACTGAAGTATTTTATACGCAGACAGTAGGGAGCTATCGAATGTTTCTATGCAGGATAGTGACGTGATCAAAGGAACAGCCTGGGAAGGTTAACTGAGTGGGCTGTATAGGATGGACTAGAGACGAAAGGGAATGGAGCAGCAGAGACCAAATGGGAAGATGGAATGTTAGATATAATCATCTTTTTTTTTTTTTTTTTTAGACTGAGTCTTGCTCTGTCATCCAGGCTGGAGTGCAATGGCACGATATTGGCTCACTGCAACCTCCACCTCTCAGGTTCAAGCAATTCTCCTGCCTCAGCCTCCCAAGTAGCTATGATTACAGGCACCCAACACCACGCCCAGCTAATTTTTTAATTTTTAGTAGAGATGGGGTTTCACCATGTTGGTCAGGCTGGTCTCGAACTCCTGACCTCAGGTGATTCACCCACCTCAGCCTCCCAAAGTGCTGGGATTACAGGCATGAGCCACCACACCTGGCCTAATAAATATATAATATTCTAATAGATATAGTGATTCTAACCTTGAGATCAGTACGGGTTTAGAATAAGATTATGCCAATAGGGATGGAAAAAGAGATGTAGAGAAAGGAGAATTTGTTTTCTAACGGTGAATACGGGATTCAGATGAGCAACTTGCCGGATATCATACAGCCGTGAAGTGTGACTAGGACTCAAATCCCACTCAGCCGTGAGGCATTTGACCTCTGCCTCTAACAGGGAAGATTTCTCTAAATTTCATTTCTTCATCCTTGTCCAAACATGAATGAAGAAGACGGCTCGTGAGGAGAGGAGAAGAGACTCTCGCTCTGCTCATACCAGCCTGATCATGGACAGAGGGTGTCCTGGGACCACAGGAATCTCAGGCAAAAGGATTTTTCCCTTTTCTGGTAGCTGCAGTGCTGATTAGAATTAGGCCAAGAACAAGGGCTACTCCTCCCCGTGGCTTGGAATAGCACTAATAGCCCCTTGATCCGCCCTTGCAGGCAGAGGGCACTCCAGGAGGGTTAGCAGGAGGCAGGACTCGTGTGCTCCAGAGCTAAAGCCTCAAGCTGGGAGTAGCTTCCCTGCAGGGGGAGCGGAGGAGGGAGGGAGAGGCTCTGGGGCCTCGTGCCTGCCTCTGAAAACTAGAAGGTGCTGGTCCCTCGTCTGTCAGCTTGCAGGGTCAGCCCCTCCTAGCCCAGGATCCTCCATCCCCACCCCCCACCACTGCTCTCTTGCTGGCTGTTGCCCTGCCTCCTCCATCTGACTTTCTCAAAACCCTCTCTCTGGGAGCCCTCCTAGTGTTCCTTCTTCCACTGCAAGCCTTGGCTGGGCATTTCCCATGAGAGAGGAAAATGAGGAAGAGGGTTTGGTGCAATCAGCTAAGTTGAATATATTAGGTAAGATATTCAACTTCTCTGTGCCTTAGTGTGAAGGCACAGAGATTTGTACAATGGTCATCATAATATCACAGTGCCAACTTCATGGGATTGTTATGAGAAATTAGTGAATATAAAGGACTGAGAGCAGGGCCTGGCCCAGTGTGCACATCTGCAAACATTATTATTGCTGCTGTTGTGATTCCTGCTCCTTCTTCCCCCTTTCTCTGCTGAGAGAAGATGCCCCAAGTAAGGTCATCCTTCCCTGGCTGAAACCATGTGCCTTGCCTTCTGAAGTTCTCCAGCCCCAGGGCCTGTGCCCAGCTCCCTTCATCCTAGCTGCAGTTCTTACTTGGCAAGATGGTCTTGTATCGGTCCTTGGAGGCATGGCCAGGGATGTCCAGGTCTTCGGGGCTGACAAAGTTTGAAGGGATCTTCTGGCAGAGGGAGGAAATGAGTGAGCAGCTGACTCCCCTTCCTAGCCTCATTTTCTCCTCTTCTATTCTTTTCTAGATCAACTGGGCTCTGGCTGTTCCTTCTTGATATTAATATGTAGGCCTAGATGGGGTGGGGGTAGAAGGGGAAGCCCAGGGGGAGCCCTCTCCCCCAGCCCTAGAGTTCTCTTTCCTGAGGGGTCCAGAGAGGAGACAGGCCCACGGTCCCTGTGAGAGAACGGTTCCAGCAGGCTGCCTCTGATACAGAGCAGAGCAATTCGGAGGGGACCTCAATTTCTTACCAAGAATTCTTCTTCCAGCTGCTTGGGGCTGGGTGGCTGGCACTGAAGGGCCCAGCGGGTAAGGGGGTGTCCAGCAGTGCGCAGGAAGTGCAGAGTGACCTCCCGGGGAGTGTTCACGGTGCAGATGGGTTCTACGGCTCCCAGGGACCGGACATCCAGCATCAGAGCCACATTGGAGCCCCGCCTGCAGGTACAGCCCACACTGCCTAGTGAGCACCCAATCGTATTTGCTTCGCTTTTTATCTTTTCTTTTAGGGATAGGGTCTCTCTCTGTTGCCCAGGCTGGAGTGTGATGGCACCGTTATGGCTCATAGCAGCCTCAAACTCCTAAACCGAAGCGATCCTCCCACCTAAGCCTCCGGAGTAGCTGGGACCACAGGCACATGCTACTGTGCCTGGCTAATTTAAAAGAATTTTTTTTTTTTTTTTTTTTTTTTTTTTTTTTTGAGACAGAGTTTCGCTCTTGTTACCCAGGCTGGAGTGCAATGGCGCGATCTCGGCTCACCGCAACCTCTGTCTCCTGGGTTCAGGCAATTCTCCTGCCTCAGCCTCCTGAGTAGCTGGAATTACAGGCATGCGCCACCATGCCCAGCTAATTTTTTGTATTTTTTAGTAGAGACGGGGTTTCACCATGTTGACCAGGATGGTCTCGATCTCTTGACCTCGTGATCCACCCGCCTCGGCCTCCCAAAGTGCTGGGATTACAGGCTTGAGCCACCGCGCCCGGCCATTAAAAGAATTTTTTTTTCTTTTTTTGGTTTTGAACTCCTGGGCTCAAGTGATCCTCCTGCCTTGGCTTCCCAAAGTGCTGGTTATAGGCATGAGCCACTGTGCCTGACCACACTTGCTTTTCTTACAAGTATTACTGTTATGAGGTACCTCTGAGGGGGCCGTTCCTTGTCTTTCCTTTAACATGGAGGCCCAATGAATTTAGGGTTCAGGCCCCTGCTGTATACCTTTTTTCTCCCCCCTTCCTAGCCCAGGCTGGTCTCCAATTCCTGGACTCAAGAGATCCTTCCACCTCAGCCTCTCAAAGTGCTGAGATTTTGGGCATGAGCTACCATGCCGGGCTCAGCCCTCTCCCTGTGTCAGCCAGACAGGGCAGCCTTGAACTCAACTGCTCCTTCCAGCTGCCTGCCCCTTGCCACTCCCAGCCAGGCCCCGTGGCTCTGACGTGCATCCAGCACCGAGAAGGCCACTGGCCTGGCCTGGAATTTAGGGAGCAGGCTCAGGGTTGATAAGAAACTCTGCTCCAGACATGCAAAACACATGCAAATGAGCACTACTGGTTTCCTTTCCATACTGGAGTCAACAATTGAGGATCCTCTGGACTCTGCTGTCAGAGCTGGAGGGGCAGGTGGAGGGAAGGGAGGAACGGAATGGGGCTCAGGGCTGGGAAGACCCCTCCCCCAAGGAAGAGCTCACCTCTCCTGCAGCCGCACATGCTTCTTGGCTGGCGTTTTGGCAGGCGGAGGCTGGGTCATGGCTGCCCCCAAAGAAACGGTCGGCGGCTGTGCTGTGGAGCTCCCTCCACGGGCCTGGACCATGCTGGGGTGGGGTGCTGGGCCCAGGGGAGGCTCACTCAGCCATGAGGTCTGCCTGAAAGACAGGGCCCTCCGCTGCTGTTCCCTGGCCTGACTGATTGGCCAGAAGGAGGCTCCCACGCCCAGGCCGGCTTTGCGCCCCGTTTTCACTGGGGCGTCTCCTGTTCCCCAAGAGGTAGCCTCATGTTCACTACAGGAAGGACGGGACCTCTTTGGTGGGACCCAGGGCAGAAGGCCGTCTCGGGTTAGAGTAACGGCAAGACGAAGGGTAGAGATTGTGGATGAAGATAGGAAAGAAGCCAAAAGGAGGAAGAGAGAGACGAGAGAGGCCACACAGGGCTCTGCGCGGGTCCAAGTGGAGAGGGCAAGGGAGGAAATGGAAGACATGTGTTCTCTAGGACGGAAGGGAGAACGCGTGCAGAAGCCATCTCGGAGCTAACCAGTGGGCCTTCTCCTCAACAGGGGATGGCGGCTGCAGCAGTGCTGGAGGTGGGTGGGCAGCCAGGCAGGCCAGCTCCGGGACCCCGGCAGGGTCCTCTCCTAACTGCTGATGTTCCACTCCTAAGTCCGTTTCTGGCTTCTGGGGTCTCTGTCCAGGGAGGTAGGCTGGGGGTGTTTCCTTCCTCCTCCTGCCCATCCCCCGCCTCCCGCCTCTGCAACCGTCACAGGAAATGGCCTCACCAAGCCCTTGAGCGACAGCGCATGGTGAGGCGACAGCTGGGGCAAGACAGGGGGCATGCAGATGGTGGGACCATCTCCTCTTGGGGGCAGTCCCTATCTCCCAGAGCCAGGGTCACAGCGGGTGAGGTGGCGGGGTGATTAGTCAGCAAGGTGGCAGGGATGGAGGTGAGGGGACAGGACGGGTCCGGCGCAGGTGTGGGTGGTAGAGAGGGTCTCTGGCAACAGAAAGGGGGCCTTGAGCCTCCACTCTCCTTGCAGCTCCCTGTGGCTTCCATGCTTACCCCCGTCTTGGGGACATCAGGGCTGTGAGCACCCATTCCCCAGCCAGGCCTTGTAGCTCCCCACTCGCCCCCCCACACTCCCTCCTGCAGATGCCCTCTTATATCCCTGGAGTTCGCAACTCCCAGAGCCACAGGACTCCCGGTCCCCCTTCAGATACTTACTAAAGCAGCTGTGGCCCCCAGGCTGCCTCTTGCCAGCTGTCTGTCTGTCTGTCAGTCTATCTCTGAGGGCTGAGAAGGCTCCAGGAAGCCAGCTTCCTCCCTCCGCCCCTCCTTGCTGCCACCCACGCACACCCCAGCTGCATGCTGCCCTCCTGTGCCTGCTGCCGCTGCCACCAGGGGTCGGGTGCCTCCCGCCCGTGCCCTTCTGGATCCCAAGGCCCTGTTTCCTGGGAACGGGTGAGGGGCTAGGCCTTCCTGACCATCCTGCTTCCCCGGCTTTCAGACCCTCTCCCGTCCTGCTGTGTTTCTCCTCTGAGTCTTTTTCACATCTAGCCGCTGCCTACTTGCTGGGCACAGCTCGTCTGACCCCCAGCTCTGTGCTGTCCCACAAAGAACCCAAGGTTCTGCTCAACTTGACCTTGGCCAGAGGCTTATTTCTGCTTCTCTGCCTCTGCCCCACAGCCCTCTCCCTCAAAGCCCTTGCTGCTTCAAGCCTTGGGAATTCATGGCCAAGCACAGACCACATCTTCCCAGAGCAGATGTGGCACAGACTTGGGGTGGGGAAAAGGAGGAGGCAAGAATCCATGCCTCACAATGGGAAGGAAAGGCCTGGGGCCAGGCCAAAAAGGTCGTCTCCATGCCCTGCGCCACAGCCCAGCTCTCTGCAGCCCACGCCTGAGTGTAGCCAGCCCAGGAGGAAGCAGACAGCAGAGTCCACTTGTAGGAGGGAATCTGAGGGGCTTCCCTGGGCCCCCAGTCCCCTGCGGGCCTCCTCCCAGAACCCTGACATCTGCTTGGAAGACTTACAGACAGCGGACAGTCTCTGGCCCTCACAGCAGGGGACTCCCATGTCCTCTTCGCTGCTGGGGTGCCTGGGACCTGAGGGGTGGCCCCCAAGTGCAAGACTCCTCTGCCCCCTGCCCCTGCCTGGCCTTGGCAGGCTCCTTGCCGGCCGGCAGCCCAGCTGGTTCACGCTCGCTGCACGCCTCCTTTCACCTTGTAATATTTCAAACACCCTTCCCTTCCCGGCCCCCAACACGCACAATCCACGTCCTCTTTCTTCCACCCACTTTCCTGATTCAGCTGTCAAATGGTGACAGCAAAAAAGAAATGAGGTACCATAGGCACAGGGGTAGGCACGCTGGAGGGGGTGATCGGGAGGGGCTGGCCTTCTGCTGGCCCCCTGGGGAGGGGTTGATATGAAGAACAGGAATGACCCTCTGAGGCTCAGGAGGCCTCCCAGCACCTGCCCTTGCTCTTGGCAGTGAGGACAGGGGCTGGCTCTTTTCTGAGTCCCTCCATGGCCAGCGGACCCTGGCGCCTTCTTCCCTGCAACCTGCGCTCCTCTTCGGAGTGGGTGGGTTTCCCTGAGAAGGAGGCCGATTAGGGCTGGGAAAGGGGTTGGCGCCGGTGCTCAGGACACAGTGGAGAGGAACAGGAACCTGAGAGCCCCTACCGTGCTTGCAGGCAGTGACCCGGCGACTGGCCTCTGCCTCACCCCCTACACCAGTCAGTGTTTCCACTGGTGGGTAGCAGGGGCCCAGGGGGTACAGCAGGGGGCAGGTGGGGGTTGGAAAGAGGGCCGGGCTCTGGGCCTGTGTTGATCGCTATCAAGAACAGGAAGCTAGGACACCACAGGGGTGGGAGGAGGAAGCGGCAAAGCCCTCCCCACACAGGTCTGCCTAGTGGCCCCAAGTTTCCAGGGTCCAGGCCCTGTCGGCTGTGAGCCCACCCCTTTCCCCCACAGACCAAGGCCTGGCAGTGGCTGGACAGTTGGAAGCTGAGCTTCTGAGCAAGGAGCAAGGAAACTGCGAGCCAGGAGATGGGCAAGATAGTTGGGGGTGGGGGCAGTGGTTGGGCATTAGGCAAGACCTCAAGGATCCCCCGTTCCCTCTGGGTGGGTCTAGGGTGGAGGGGACAGTCACTCTTTGCCTCCTGCCCACTCTCTCTTCTCCTGTGCTTAGGGATGCCTGGACATCCATGGAGGTGTGTGGCCAGAGCTCGTGAGGGCTGAGGGTGCCCACTGCAGCCTCAGAAGGGACACGATGCCTGTCGTCGTCAGCCTGCACCAGCCCCTCCCCAGCCTGGCCTGGTGACTTGAATCGCTCCTCTCTGCCCTCTCTGGAGTGGACTCTGCCCCATCCGGGCTGCTGGGAGGCTCCTGGGAGTGACTCCCTCTCCCCTCCAGAACCTTCCCACCCCTGGGGCCGAAAGGTCCCAGCAGCTCTCAAACTTCCATCACTCGAATTGATTTGTGTTCCTGGGTTGAGATTTAGGTTCTAGCCACCCTCGACTCCAGAAAGTATAGTAATAGTCAGAAATCAGAATGACCTGTGCATGTGAGTCTAAATGTAGCTTATTAGCTGTGTGACCTTGGCCAAGTCGCTGAGCCACCCTGAGCCTCGGTCTCCGCCTCAACTTCCTCCCTCCCCTGGGGGATGTTCGCAGTGCCTCCCTTGTCAGCTTGTGGAGTGCTCTGTTCATGGAGAGCTCGGGAGTCAGAGGCCAGAGGAGCGAGGAGCTGGAGGAGCTGGCTGGGGAAGTGGGCCTGGGAGCCTGGGAGCTACACAGGGTGAGGAGGTCACGGGTCTCACCATTCCCCAGCCTCCGTCTTCCTCCTCACTGCTGACTTTCTCCCCGAAGCCGGGCTCTTCCACCCCAGCACTGAGGAGGTTCAAGGAGTCACTCCCGGGGGACTCCCAGCATCCTGGGTAGGGCAGTTTACTCCAGGGAGGACAGAGAGGGGCATCCTAAGCCACCAGGCCAGGCTGGGGCCGGGCTGGTACAAGGCATCATGAAGTCAGACTTATACCATCTGAAGCTGTGGTGGGTGCCCTCAGCCCTCCCGAGCTCTGGCCACACACATCCTGACTCTCTTGTTTCCCCCTCCAGTGACCCCCAGTTCCGGGGCTGTGAGCCATAGCTCCCTGTCCCCAGTATCAGGAGCCCCCCAGGGAAAGGTGGCCATTAAATCTGGAATTCCCAGAAGTCTTTGCTCCTTGCCAGCTCCTAGCGAGTAAGGAGCTCCTTGCTGGGCTGCTGTTGGCCCCCAGAGGCAAGGGCCACCACCCTCTAATAATTCAAGGGGAGGATCTTGGGGAGAGGGTCAGCTGCTGGGGGCCAGGACTCCTGGGTCCCGCACACTTCACCTGCTCTGCTCCCTCCTAGCTGCCCTCCTCGGCTCCTCTTTAGAGAAGCACTAGGATCTGGGGTGGCTGCTCCCCCATCCTTCCCACCCCCAGAATCCTAGGCCAGCCTGAGCCGGCTTGTTCTGCCCCAATTTTACTGGCCCAGGCTTGTTCCTGTTTGTGTGGGGGAGACAGAACTGGATCTGGGAAGCCCCATCCTGGAGGAGGCAGGGAGACAGCAGGGGAGACATGGTGAGTGGGGCAGGGAAGTGCTGTTAGGGGCATGGGATGGGTCCGGGCTGACCACAGTGACACCTGTACCCCTATCTCAAAGCTGCACTCCTGTGCCGGGCCTAGGAACTCCTGCCACCTTTTGGTTGAAGGGGAATGTCCCATACTCCTTGCCCCTGGCTGAGAGGACCAGCAATCCAGCTCTGCTCAGCACTGGGGTGCCAGGGCCAGCCTGCCGGGAGGTCTAGGAAAGTGCCTGGTTCTTTGCCTGTGGCTGGAACTCAGGACCTTGGCGGGAAGGTTTTAGGATAGAAGAGAGTCCCTCCCTTTCTTCCAAGCCCAGAGCCAGCCAAATGGACATCTATTCCACAACGTGGCCTTTTCTTCCCAAGGGCTCCCCTCTCCCTCCCACTCTGTGTTGTCCCTGGACACCCACTCAAGCATCCATCCAGACAGGAGTGTACACGCTCATGGCCCACGTTTGCACACATGCACACGCACAGTGTCAATCCACACATACCCAGCCCCTCCCTTGCTCTCCCATGACCTGGTCAGGGGGACCTAGGCCTTCCCCCACTCCCTGGCCACCTTCCCCATAGTATAGGCAGCAGGGGGAGTGGGTCACTTGGCTGTCCTGAGCCACCCTGCTTCTTTGCTGCCCGGCGATGACCTTCATCCAGCGTGGGAGCTGCCCAAGGCCTGGTTTCAGGCTGTGGGAGAGCAGAGAGGGGCCAGAAGAGCGTTGCCCTGGGCAGCTGTAGGAAGAGGCCAGGCCAAGTTCACATTTGGGAGCCAGGACTCCGGACCTGCCCCCTGCCCTCCTCTGCCTCCTGCCTGGCTCTTTCCAGAAGGAATCAGTAAGGTGCCCTGAGACTTCAGGGTAGTGGGGGGAACCCCAGGGGTTCTCTAGGGAGAGGATGTGGGTTTGTCTGTGGGGGTGGTTGCTGGGGAGGAGATACAGCCCTTGTGGTACATTTTCTTTTGCTGAATGGAGAGGTTTGGGCTGGGGAGGCTGCTGCTTATTTTTCAGAACCTCTAGAAGCCCTGTCTCTGAGTCCCCTAGGCGGGGTTGGGGGCTGGCGGCTGTGCCTCTTAAGGCCAGGTGCCTCCTCAAGTCTCTGCCCACAGGACTAGCTATGGAGTCTGTGCTGGGCCCCACAGGCCTCTCTTTTGTGGGGACTCTTGGGCAGGTTCTGACACCCCCTGCCTGTCCCTAGACCTGTGTCCTGTGCGTCTCTTCTCCTTAGATTCCAAATTAGGGCACCTCCACCCCACCTGTCCCCTTTTTGGTTGCTGATCAAGGCTACCAGAAAGAACAAAGTAAGGTGTCCCCAGATGAGGTGGGATGAGGGTGGGATGAGAAGGTACGATGTTTCCTCCACCTCTTGCCCAGACTGGGACCTGGGACCTCTTCCTTTTCACATCAGTTTCCCTGGTTGCAACATTCCCCTACCCCACCCCCGCCTTTCAACAGAGCACATATGTGCAGGCGCACACACAGCCTGGAAAATCTCCTGAGTCTGCAGTGCTGAGTTTCCAGGCCCCATCCAGGGGCCGGGTGGGCGGCTCTGAGGTTTGGGGCTGGGTGGAGCGGGGGAGGGGCAAGCAGTCCCTGGCTGTGGCCTGAGCAGGGAGCCGGGCGGAGCTGGTCTCTGAGGCTGGCGTGTCCTCCCTCTGGGGCAGGCCCAGGAGAATCCAGCTCCCACCAAGGCTGCCTTGGTGTTCAGACTTCTATACCTGTCTGTTTTCCACACATCCCCCCACCTCCCCACCACTTCCTGAGTTTGTTCGAGTCCTGGGCTTCACTCCCAGGGCCCAAAGCCTTTTCTACTGTTCTCCCTTCTTATCCTCAGCTGTCTGTGGGTGGAAGCACCTGGGTGAGCAGCTCAAGGTGACTTGCGGGCTCTAGTCAGGGGTAAAGCAAAGCCTCAAGTGCAGTATCTTTGAGGCCAGGCTTGCCTGGGTTTCTGCAGTGCCCAAAGCCAGGTGGGGGGTGGGAGGGGGCAGGGGAACCAGGGTGGGCGTTGCTGATCCAGGAGATGAAGTGGGGGAAGGCAAGCAAAAGTCCTAGGTACTTGAATTGCTCCTCAGAAAATTCCCAGCTTATAGGACCCCAATTTGGGAGATTTGGAGCAGGGTCCACCATCTCTGCTCTATGGAGTCTGAAGCCCCCAGGTTCAAGTCCAGCTTTTTTGCTCACATACGTGGGCTCTTCCCCTCCCTGGTTATCAGCTTCCTCATCTGGCAGTGGTGAGCTGGGACTGGAGGAGGCCCAAGGGCCAGGTAGGCTCTAGATCTACAATTGCTGTGACTCAGGGGCCAAAGGATGTGCTTCTGTCCCCAAGAGCA